CGCATTATTATTAGATAACAATAATATTCTGGAGCTGAAGAGAAGAATGTAAAGTTTTTGGTTAGGCTTTACCATTTCCAGAATATCATTCTTAGTATAGGCCTTATCTGTAATGAGAACAAAATCCTCAATCATAGGGATAGAAACTTCCTCATACTTGCATGCTAAAAGCATAGCTGTCACCCCAACCAACTGAAGCTTCTTTCTCATCACTATTCGCCGCTCTAAAAACCTGTCTATGAGATTCACTGTAAGGAATAAGGTCTCCTCCATAAGCTCAAACTTGTGGTGAACCTGTTTATACAAAATGAATCATCTCCATTAAGTGACTGATATTACTTGTACATGAATAAGAAGAGTATTTAAAGCATTAGATGATAAAGCAAAATTATATGATCTGTGTTACATAAGGGACATATTTATACGAAGCGAAAAATCGTACCTCAATAAGCCAGTCAATAAGGATTGCCCTCATTTTCTCGTTGATGTCGGATTGATGCAACATGTAATTCGGGGAGACGCAGCTAAACCTCTGCATAAAACGTGCTTTCATCTCGTAAAATCAAACTTTAATGCATTCTTACGTAATGCAGAAGTCTTTTTGCAGGATGATCAAATTGAGGGAAATCAATATCAATCAGCAAAAGCAACAACTACTAGAAATTTCGTTGCATTTCGTTTGAATTTTCATACGTCAGATGATAAATATGCGCATTCATAAAGATTTAGGCTCACAATAAATCCATGGATTATCAACAATTTAAAAGATATATCCCACAAACAAATAGAAACTTGGCCTTGGACTTTCATTACAAAACACATACACATTCTCAAATAGTAATGAGAATTTTACCTCGGTTTTTCTGTAGTGGGCATAAATTTCATTAATGTACTCAACCACTGAAAGTGGATCTTTCAAATTGCAACAGTCAATGTCCATAACAGGCTCTTCTTCTTCCACATCTTCCATTTCAACCTCCTCCTACAGTATTTTAATCCAAGGTTAACATTTTCCAGTAAGAATCTAGGTTGCCCGTAGATACTAATTAATACATACCACCTTATGAATTTCATCTAGAATAGCCTCTGTGTGCTTCACAAACATTGGTACTGGGACATCTTTAGCATCCACAAAGTCCTCCACATCTACAATACCACAATCACCTAGACCACTATGGTTTGCAGCCACCGTGTGTAGGTTCTTAGTTTCGAGATCACAAGCCTTCGGAGAATTCGAATTCAAATTTGAAACCAATGGTAAATGAAATCAGTTTTTTATACTACCCTTAATCACATAATTAAAGCCATAAATGATCAACTCATGTCACCTGATAAACACATAAAACATCCCTTACATTAGAAGAGCAGTGCTGGATAACTTGAGCTGAAAACTCCCTAGACAAACGCCAAGCAATTAATTATTATTAATATTATTTTATACATTCTTGAAACGAAAATGAAAGGAGGGGGGGGGATAAGATATTAATAGAGTGAATTCAAACCTTGTGATTGGTCTATGTGGTACATTTGATGGCTTCTTGTCGCATAATATCATATCTTTCCTGAATATAACACATAATTCACTCATTAGAAACAAAAAAAAAAAAAAACGAAAAAAAAGTTCAAAAGAAAAGAAAAAAGAAAGAATCTTACAATGTCAGAGAAAAAAAAAAGCAAAAAGTCAGAGAATGAAGGCAAGAGTTGGAAATACCCCAAAAATTCTCTTTTGCTGACTACATATGGGTTGAGAGTAGCTCCAATGATATTGGGATTAATATTGCTTAACGCCCTTCGGTTATAATTTCCCATGTCCTTATTAACAAACTTAGCACTCGCCATTCTTGAACCTTCTTTAAAATCCCAAAGAAAACACGACCCATTAATTAAGCTTTGATTTTCAAAGTTTAAGAGAAAATTTATAACAGCATTTGTTGAAGTAACTTAACACAAAATCATACCTTGGAAATTGGAGGTGGGGTTTATAGTGTCCGACGAGGTCTTCTCTAGTCCACTCATTGTGATAACTTCAAAACACATGAAAGAAAATCAAAAAGCCCGTGAGAGAAAAAAAAAAAAATATATATATATATATATATATAAGAAGACGATCAAGATCGTTCAATTGCGTCGAAAATGTGAAGACCCACCGAGCTAAAACGAGTAAAAATCCAGGCTAAATATCTGTTTGTTGCTCAGCTTCAGTCCTCAGAACTCCAGAGGGAGATTAGAGGAGATTCCATGAGAAAAATCCACCACAGATTCGAAGAGCCTTTGTCTTTTTTAAGCCTCAAATTTCTCTCTCTTTCTGTTCGGGATTCTTTGAAGAATTTGATTGCTTGTAAGATCAAAAGAAAAAGTGACAATAAAAAAAAATTATTTAATGGCGGATCAGAGATGAAGATACAACGGGAATAAAAAGGTAAAAAGAAACTAACAAAAAAGCAAAATTTGGACGGAGGGACGGGGGGCGTGTCTTAGGACAAATTGTTTTCTTTCTTTTTTTTGAAAATAACGGCTACTAAATTGTGGCCGTTGGATCCGTTTTGGTATGTATTTTGGCCGTTGGATCTTCATAAAACATAAAGACGGAAATGTTCCGTCTAACGGCTATTTCGCTCTCGTGCCTGATGACGTGGGCATGGGATTTTCAAACATCAGAGCTCCCGTAGAAAGAAAATATTCTTTTTTTCCTTCTTTTTTTTGAGATTTTTCTTTCTTTCTTTTAAGATAAAAGAACATTAAAAACTAATTTATGCAGAATAAAATGTTGGATAATTAGTAAAGGTTACCTGGTAGGAATATTTCTAGTTAATGCACTTAATATGTGATCCTAAGCAGCATGCAAATCAGAATGAATATAAGGAGATCTTGGTTTATAATTTTTTTAAGGTAATTGGCATAAATGATCTCTAACATCGACGGTTTAGTCCATATTCTTTTAATTTTAATAAAATGGTCTCTAACATCATTAAATAGGTGCAATAAAGTCCATTCCGTTCAGACTTGTCAAATTACCTACGTTAAAACCCAAATAACCCTCGCATGACCCGATTACAAAGGGTTATTTTTGTAAAATCACGTGTTTATTCAATTTTGGGTTGAAAGCAGCGAAAGCAGCCATGTTCTGATATCTTCAAGGTTCCTCACAAGTCACACCACAGAAGCCAAATCCATGGCCTTGTTTTCTCCGCCCACCCATCTCCCAACTCCACCGATTGCTCATTTTCCTCCTCATATATTTTCCTCTTTTACCTCCACCGATTGCTCCATTTGTATATTTTTCCTTATATTCACTTTCATTCCTTGTACAGCCCCACTGATTTTTTCTTTTTGTAATTTTCCATGTAAAGCTCTGTGATTTTGTTATATTTTTCCTTATAAAATACAACTTTTGCTCATCACAAATCCAAAAGTTACACAGAGAGAGAAAGTTTTGGTCTTTAAAAAAAGTAAGAGACAGCCCAGAGGCCATATCAGAAGTGGTGGAGATGGGGCCACGGCCGCCGGCAGATGAAGCCCCAAAAGAGGCGGAAGGCGAGGGCTCAACGGCTTTTGGCTGAAGACGACAACGAAGGAGTCGTTAGACTGATTCTCGTGCTATTGTTGTTGATTGTGCTGTTAGTGTTGAAGTTGTTGTTGACCACCATCATTGTTGTCAGCATTGTTGGGCATGCTTTGTTGAAAACTCTAACTTTTGATTATCATATTAGAATGATACGAATTTGGGAGATAAGTTTAGGGAAATTTCATCTTTTCAGGGTCACCTGATTTTAACGTGGATAATCTGACGGATCTGGATAGAAAAGACTTATGTCCGTTCATTTCACAGATTTAAGTTTTTAGTTTTAAGTTTTTACAGTTAAAAGTTCTCAGAAAATGTTACATTTAACTTTTTCTGCTATAATTAAAAACTCTTAAAAAATGTCAAATCTCAATTCGAATTGAAAACTCGAATCCGTAAAGTGAACGAGGCATTAATTGCATCTAGTTAATGACGATGGGAACTATTTTGCTAAAATTAAAAGAATAAAGACTAAATTATCACCTACTAAATAAGTTAAGGACCATCGGTGTCAATTACCTTTTTTAAGTGTATTAATAGTTTAGTGTTAAATTTAAATTTTTTTTAGAAAAGATTAAATCCTAATTTCAGAAAAAGTGCAAAATTATTCTTTAAAATAGTTATGTTTTTTATATTATTAACCTCTTAATTGTAACTTTCCTTGAATCATAATCGATCAATTTAAACGAATTAAAGCAAAGAAGCACTACTAAACACATGGATAATATTAATTTCACATTAATATTTTAGGGTCAATTTTAGGACAATTTCAATTTCATTTTTTTCGAAGTGATTTTAATTTCATTTTAGTGTAATTTTTTTTTTTTTTTTTTTTTTTTTTTTTTTCTATTATGTCTCTGTTGTAGTGTTGTATGTTGTGTTTCATTTTGGCAAGCATTAATTTAAGAACTGCATTTTTGCCTTAAAATAGAATGATTCTCGAGTTTTCCTTTTCTAGCCAAAGTGGGAAAGGAAAAAAGCGATTTAGATGGCAACTTTGTTGATTTTCTAAGGAGATGGACCCAGGTGTGTTTCATCATCCTCAAAATACGCTCTTCACCACTATAAGAGAAAAGAGAAAGAAGATTCGTGGAAGCTCCTACCACCTTTTTCATACTTGGCATATGGTTGCTCTTATAATATTAAAAAAAAATCTTATGACATGGTATTGTAAAAATGTGTAAAGTCTTAAAAAGGGCACCTTGACAAGTTTAGTAAATGTAGCTTTTTTATTTATATATATACGTACAGTCACGACCTGCCGCTAACCACCTGCCATGTTAGGCTCCTGCTATGTTAGGCTGGCAATGGATCGTAATGAAAAAACATAACATACATACATATCATACCATATTTACAGATTTTTTTAGCACACAAATATATATATATATATAACATAGTCATATAATACAGAATATTTAAACTTTTAAAAGCTTACAAATCCTTAATCAAAACACGAAAATTTTAAAACTTAAAAAAAAAAAAGGTGCTTGAAAGGGGTTCTTTAATTAAAAACATAATTTTACAGAAATCGTATTGAAGCCATAAGGCCAATTCTCAAAAACCAATATCAAAGTTTGGCCACTACAAGTCTTATCCCATATGCGCATCACTTCGATTCACTTTCCCGATCATTGAGCTGCTATCTTAATATTTTTCTTTCCTTTTTTCCTGCAACACAAGGAATCCTAGTGAGCTAAAAAGCTCAGTAAGAGAGTAGACTAACTACTCTAAATATGGATGAAATGAAACACAATAATTTCTCAACAGGAAAAGAGACACGAACGTAAATGTAGACATAAACAATATTAATTTGAATACCTAATTTAATTCCTCATAATTTTTCTCAACATACATAGTACTACAATTTATAATTTTTACCAACTGATAAGTAATCATAATATAACATACTTCGTATTCTAATATGTTTCAAAGAAGAGTGTATTATACTCCAATACTCATAAACTCATCATTTTAAATATTCATGTTATCCATTGACTATTACTTTGACCTTCATAAGTCATATTTAAACGTATGAGAATCATAGTCTTAATGTACCATAATCATAATTATAAGACATCATAAATCATAATCTAACATACTATAATCATAATCATGTCTTAATCTTAACATACCATGGCCATAATCATACCATATAATAAATCTTAATCAACTTCTTACCGTAAACTGAAGCTTTCCCAACCAGTCATATACTCCCATAAGCACAATTGTGCATAGGATTTAAACAAGAATAACACGTTGATAGTAACTAAAATCTAAAACACATAACTACCCCTAATAATCTAGCATACCCATTTTTGTCTTCTTATTAGGGGTTCACAACAATCAAGAAGATATTAGAAAACAACATAATCACAATATTAATCACATGTTCCCATTTAACATGATCATAGTTAAATATAACTAAGAAACATACATACCTTAAATCAACATGGTCTTATCATGCTATAATCTTACCATATCATATCATACTATCATATTCATAACATAACCTCATATCACATATTATCATGAACTAATCATTCTATAATAAATCGTGACATAATATTATTATGTCGTAACAAGGTGCATAACTTATCACATACTCAATAAACTAGTATCCTATCGTGCATGTACTAATGGGCCCGTGGGATTGCCTTATGTCGGCTGATGCTCAATCGTGTGGTGGTCCTAGACTCCAGGCTAATAGGTATAAAGAATCACACACACGGACCTCATGTACCATTTAACAAATCGAACTCGACTTCCTGGAGTGCACCACTAACTATATGTGGCTTACCTATAACACTCGAGTCATAATCCATTGGCATTCACATAAGTGGTAACATGAGTGTTCACAGGGTTTTATCCATTCTTGCTCGGCCAAGGCTCAGGGAATTCAGTATCGTCACTTAAACACATATCCAACGACCACTAAAATCGCCAGATCTAGAACCCAGTATCAAAGAGCATAAAGTCCATCTAGCAGACTAATTTAAATCATAACTATCATATTAGGTCCTCTAACGGACCAATAGTGCCCACTACTATGAAATACTAATCATATCTTACTATATGTCAATTTTCATAATTGAATGTCACGCCAACAAAATCATGCCCTATCTTGCCATGCTATTTCATATATCAAGCATGTTATTTAGATGCTCACATAATTAAATGAAGCATATTTGCATTTTATATACCACGTCATGTGCATTCTTATAATTGCATTCCTTTATGCTCACATACAATTAGATATTTTTTATTGAGGCATAACTAACATATTCGTTGTAGCATAATGGGCATAAATCATTCACAAAAAAGTTAAATGTTTTCATATCATGTTCATGATCATGGAAATCATAAGTAGCATGCTAAACAATAAAAATAGTACATAAGGCATAATTATATTCACATTTCATACTGTCATAAACGATCATGGTATTCTTACATAGAATGACAAACATAGGTCACAAGTAAATCGTAAGCATCACTTGTGTTGTATTTGAGTACTCTACTTACCTTCAGCATTCATATATCCCAAACGTACGCTCCTTATGCTTCGTTCGATTCACGCACAATGATTAGGTGCTCACCTAACTTTAGCAAATATTTTCCCGTTAATTGGAGCTTTACAAATCCTTTTAAGAGTATTACAACACTCTAGAATTTTAACAAATTCCTAAAACTAGGAAACCATATTGTTTCTTTTTCATATCTTAATCGGAGACTCGTAATTACAATCTCGCCTATTATTTTCGAAAAATGTGGTTTGAGGTTGAGATAGACTCTTTGAAATTTAATAACCTTGTCCATAACTTAACAAAGCAAAAGCAA